CAGGTCAAAGGGTAAGTCAGGGAAGATGTAGAAGTTCAGACTATGTCTGACTTCTCCAGCACTGTCGATGGTAACAGGGATTCCCTTAACCTTCTCCCTGATGGTGAGCACGGTGGAGTCACCTATTCTGACCAGCAAAGGTTGCTGAAGCTTCTGAACTTTCATCCCCAGATGCAGTTTCTTAACAGCACTGGGAGATATAAAGTTCCTGGTGGCTCCACAATCCAACAACCCTTTGATCCTGTTGTGGTTGATCAGGGGCCGAACTAGGATGAGATCAGACTTGCTCTTCTTCTGTTCCTTCAGATGAAGGAAGAAGGCAACAAGTGACTGGAGCTCATCCTGCTCCGGGTCCTGCTCCGGGTCCTGCTCCGGCTCAGGATCGTCATAACAGAAGGATGCTGCCCGTGCAGTCCCCAAACAATCATCTGCAGTCTCAACTGAAACAGCTGCAGATTCACCTACCTCAGTTGATGAAGGTGCAGCACTGGGGGGAACTGCAGTCCCCAGGGTATGTTTCAGTTTTTTGACTGTCCTGGGCCTGGCATGTAGGGGCAGTCTTTCAGGAAGTGCTGGCCCTCACACCTTAGGCATACCCCTCGTTTCTTTCTTCTTCTCCATACTCCCTCCTGGATTTTGAGGTCATTCCAGGGGAGAGTGGAGGGATTGAGAGGGTCAGCTGGCATATGGACGTCTTTGGGTAGGTTAGGGCGCTGGGAGGAGGAAGGTCGACGTCCCCTATCCTTCCCCTTTGCACTGGCTGAGGCTGTAGTGGGGGTGAACTTCTTCTGCTGCTGCATAACTCCCAAAACAACCTGAGTCAGGGCCGCTGCAACATCTGTTTCAGCAGCTGGTCCACTCCCAGATGATGGTATATCAGCCTGGGAATCTGAATCAGAGGCTGATGCAGATCCTGCATGTGTGAAGGCTGCCTTTCCCTTTCTACCACCACGAGGGAAGGCACCTTTCCTCCTGTCCGAGGAGGCGGCCTGGACATGAAGTTTGGCCTCCATGTCCAGGGCTGCGCGGCCAAAGGATCTCCAGTCCTTGTGCCCAGCGTTGTACAAAGCAACCGCAAACTCCTCAGGCGCTGCCCTGCAGAAGTTGGTCAGCAAATCATCTGTAGACATGACCAACCCAGGGGTAGAGGTGAGCTGCTCGAACTCTGCAAACAAGGATTGCAGGGTACCGCTGTAGCGTTGCTACCCCAAGCGAGCAATCTTGTCAGCAGCCTTGCGGGCCCGCTCCTTGTCTGCAAAGCGGTCCTCTAGGGCCTGCAGAAGTTTGTCCACTCCCAACCCAAAAGCCCAGTCTTTCATAGACTGCTGCAGACTGCTGGAAGTTGAGGTGGCCCACTTTAAAGCGGGTCCCTCCAGCAGTCCCAGAATCGTGGCCACCTTAGTCTGCTCTGCACAGACGAAGCCCCTCAAGTAGGCTCGGGTCCCAGCAGCCCAGTCCCCAACATCGGTCTTTGGGTCATCCCCTCTGAACTTGTTGGGAGCTGGGATATTGGGACCTCTCTGGTCTCCTGCAGCAACAGATGCATAAGATGGCTTGGCTGTGGCTTTTTGGGAAGGAGGTGGTGAAGGGGAAGAATGGCGTGAACCAGAGGGGGTTGAAGAGGGAGAGGAGGAAGGTGTGGGTTTTGCTGAGAGGGCAGGAGACAGGGGAGAGATCAGTTTGGCTGCTGTCAGTTGAGCAGTCAGATCCTGGATTGCTGTCAGGAGCTTAGACTGCTGAGCTGCCAGGTCATCCACCCTGTCCCAATTAGTGAAAAATATGAACTGGTGGATTTGTGTTCCAGGACGGCCCACTCCGCCAGATTCTTAGTCACCTGTGCACAACGCTCATCAGACATAGCCTTGCCAAACTGCTCCAACAGATACTCCTTTCATGAAGCATCTGTTGCAGCCTCTAGCTCGGCTGCCTCCTGTCTCTCCACCTCGTCCATCAGGGCCTGCTCCTGCTGCAACCTTTCCTGAATCTCCTTCTTTCTTCGTTGAGTAGCGGTCAGAGGTGTAGTAGGGGTGGAGGCAGCAGGTTGTTCACCTTCTACCTTCATTACTACTTCCACCTATGGCTGCTGCTGAGCGACTTGATCAGCCATTTTCCTCTTTCAGAACACACAAAATAAACAAACAGCAGAGAGTATGCAGCGATGTACAGATCCCTTCAGGCACTCAAAAATCGCTGCTATCCCAGTCACAAGAGTCAGGTGGGTGATTGGGAAACAAACGGTTTGGGTTGGAACTGTTTCCCTGGGGTCAGGGGTCAGATAGAAAGTTAGTCCAACAAAATCAATCACACGATTTCCTTTTACTGACCCTGCACCACACTGGAGTTAGTAAACACAGTCCACTACTCTTCCAAAGAAACACTAGAATTCCATAGCCCACTAGAAAACAAGAGTGGTCAGTGGGAATGATAGAACCTGGCAAGTACAGACTCGAAAGATCAAGTAAGCAGAGCGATTCAGTCAGGAGCCCTATATTCTAGCTCAGACTCAATTTCCAGCCCTGATGACTCTGGCGGCCATGCCATACCCTAGGGTATGGCGAAGTACAATATTCATTGTTTCCAGTGAAATACTAGAAATCCAATCAAGCGATTCTGCAGGGATGCCTATTTTTGAATTGTGATTTACTGGGAACTGACAGAACTGAATTCTGATGGTCAGAATTGAAGTTATGATTGACCCTAGGTAGCACAGGCTATAAATAGACTCAGCGCAAAACTGCAATTCACATTATCACTACCTTTCCAGTACCGAATTCACAGCTTCAACATACAGGATCAATTGCAATGCAGTAAGGCAGTCACAAAACAATTTTGGATTGAAAAGAGTCGACAGAGGATGAGAAACAGAGCAGAGGAAGATAGGAGAGAGATGGCTATGGTTGTCATGCAATCTGCGATTTTCACATCCAGTCACTGACAGACAGATAGACCATAACTACTAACTAAACTAATCCTATCTGAATCGCCACACAGGAAGGTGCATGGAACGGACTCACTTTCAGAGTTCTCTGCAGAGCTCGATGAAGATCTGGCTATGGCAGACTGAAACCCTCATCTCACCAGTTTCTTCCAGCAATTCTCCTTCTCTGCTCCATGCACAGAACCTCTTCAAACTTGTTGATCTTATCCAGGACCCTGATGCGCTTCTTTAGTCAGATTCCCTGAATCTGACCCTGTGGCACCCAATTCGCCAATTGATGAAAATCTCGCCACAGGACCTGAGATCCGCTGATGCTATAAATAGCCCCAGATGGGGTTATTTCATCCTGAGATTGACACAGACTATCAATCTCCCTCAGCGCTGCTCAGGGATGAAGCCGCTCAACAATCCCTGAAGTCTTCAGGGGTAATTCGCCACTCAGGGTGTACTTCGCAAGACTACCCTCAGGGTCGGCTATGGCGAATTGACCCTGTTCTCGCCACTTCCTGACAAGCGCCCTGACAGGCTTAGTGCGCTTGCTCAGTGCAAGCACTGAACTCCTGAATCCACCGCTTGAAGTCTTCTTCCCTGCTGACTCAGTATTGGGGAAGATGAATCGCCATGAGGCTCTCACCAGTATCTCGCCAGATGAAGAAGATGCCCTTTGCACTCGACCTTCGGTGCTCCAATTCCAATCTCGCTCCAATACCAACTGTTATGAACTTGGTTGTCTGACGATTTTTACCGCCACTCACACACAGACAGTCTCATACACGCCCATACATGCATAAGAGAAGGGGGAGAGGAGGCAAGGTCCACACTGCACACAGACCAAAGTAGATAGCGGAAGCGCAACCATGCACAAATGGGGAGAGGACACACAGTGTTTCTCACTCTCTGACGATACTCCCAACAACCAATCTCAAGAAAGAACTTGCGAAGATAACAATTGGAATAGACACTGATAATGAGTCAGTTAACCAGAAATCGTTACAGTGTTTGCTCCAGTGTCTCGCCACTCTCAGCACCTCACCCTCCACTCACTACCCTACACCCAATTAGTAGCGCCACATCAGAATGGCCTCCCAGAGGCCAGCGCCAACCACCCAGATGAAGAACAGATCCTGTGATGAAGTCTTCAGTGCCGCTGAACAACTCTGACGAAGAACCGGCAGCTATGGCTGCCGCCACCCACATAGACTTAGTGAGGACACTGAGGAGTCTCCACACAACCCAGCCAATCGCAGAAACCCACAGGGGTTGATGCGCGGGGGATGCCCCAGCTATGGCAAGCCCTCAGCTGGCTGGCTATGGCTGCTGTCCACRGTGAGGGTCTCAGGGTACCGCCTGCAGACAATCGCCGCTGCAATCCTCCTGGCTCCAGAACGCTGTCTCGCGAAAATGAACTGCCCAAAMGTCCCTAACAGTCCTACCCTAACCTACTTGTAGATCCTACACTACTCTAGCCTAGGGCCTACCGGTACCGGTTCAGTTAGGGCCTACTCGGCCTCTACGAAACTGGTCCTACTGCCGCACTTAGGACTCAAGGCCACTTAGGGCCGGTAACCACTCAGCCCCCACTGCTGTTAGTCCCAGCTATTTTTAGAATAGCAGGCGCCCCTCAGTGCACACCAAAAAGCACCGCAAAACACACAGCATACTGTACAACCTCGCAGTCAGTCTCGGCAGTCGAAATCAGCAAGTCATTGCACCATGCAGATTTTCTGAGACTTCATCAGAATTTAAGGCAAAACTCAATATTTGTAAGAGATGGTTAGTTGGTTGGACTCGTGCACACATAAAATCCCATGAGCTGTTGCAAATGGATGGTGTGCATAGATAATTACTACACATGCTAGTTGCTTCGGTTGTTCACTAAGATGATGGTGCGTTGCACCTCACACACTCATTTGTTCTGCCCCCAGGCACACCACACTCAACACTTGAGTCAGGGCAGAACATATTCTGTTTTACCATATACACACATGCCCTGCCACAAGAAAGTAGAGGAAAGTGCTGCTATGATGCTATCACAAATGCAGAGGGGCATGGATGGACATACCTGCAATAAGCACATCAGTGCGCGAACATACGAGTCTCCCATCCATGTACACGTTGGCATCGATAGCTGATGTTCGCATGACCAAATCGCTTCCATCTGACTCCAATTGGTCTTCAGACAGAACGTTCAAAATGCGCCTGACAAAGTTACGTTGCGCTATCACCTGTACAGCAGACAATAAGGAAAATCCATTTGAAAATCGTAAATAAGATTAGACTTCTACACGGGTGTGATCTCTAGGAGGTGAAGGTGCTTGGAGCTCCATTGTGCTAGAGGAAACACAAGCGGCAGTCACTTTGGTGCCATCTCCTGCGTCATCAACTGATCTTGCAGGCTTGTCCCAGCTTCGATCGAGCAATGTATATGGAGCCAAGGATCCGCAAAGCGTCAACAAGCAATGTACATCCAGATACATACGAAAATAGCACAATGTAGCGCAGTGGAAGACTCAAAGATATGACCTGACCTGTCAGATACTGATGCGACACCCCATCATACACCACATATGTGACAGAAAGGGGAGGGACCACATACATAGAAGAAAGGTCCCTCGAGCACGCAGATGGGGAGATACCACAGATGAGGAGATGGGGGAAGAGGCGAGACGAAGATGGAGATGCGGGAGAAGACCAAGATTACGATAGCAAGTCCAAAAATAGTCTCCCTGCCGAATGTCCAATCAATGCCTGCCACAAAAGATGTCAAGTCAGATCCTGGGCCTCATGGCTTGATGTAACCTCTACTTGTAATCTCTCTCTCTCTCTCTCTCTCTCTCTCTCTCTCTCTCTCTCTCTCTCTCTCTCTGAAAGAAGAAGAAGAAGAAGAAGAAGAAGAAGAAGAAGAAGGATGAGGAAGAAGGAGGAAGAAGAAGATGGAGGACCGGACGAGGAAGAAGAAGATGTCGTCCTCCTCACGGTCTCACCTGCAGGTACGGCCATCGACGCTGCTGTGCTGCAGGTCGCTGGCGTGGAGCGCGGCTATGGCGCCCAGGTACATGTCTCGCAGTCGCAGGTATGGCCTCCGCCCTTCTGCCTACCTACACCTCTACCTCCTAGTGCAGCCCTGTATCGCGCTGCTCCAGCAGCATGTCGCCCAAGAAGTGAGCCACTCGAACTGTGTGTCTGCCCTGGCCTGGCCCAGCTATATGTAGCGCTGGGCCTCACTGGTGTGCCTCTGGTCCTGACCTGAAACGGCCTGCCTGGGTCCCTACCGGATGTCCAGGCCCTCCCTGCTGATGCAACAGGGAGTGTCCACTACTGGACGAACACGAACTGGGCCCGAAAGGGCCTGACTGTGAACGACGGAGGCCCAAAACGTGGCCTTTGTCCAAACAGACCGAAAGTCTGTTCGAACGAACTGCAAGTCTGAAACGACGACTGGACAGACAAAAATAGGACAGCATTGCCACAGCAAATAAATACATAAATAAATGAATGCTGCCTCAAATTGAATCATGCGGCCCTAAGGCTGGCCGTGGGCCTCCAGGGCACATGCCTGAATGGCGTGCGGCCTGGGAACCCCCAGCAACCGTCGGGCCCCTGAAACGGGGCCCGTGTGCAGGCTCAGCATGTAACATGTAGGTAAGCCATGCATTCACACCAAACCATGCACCTCTGAGCTTCTGAAGACAGAGCTCTGCACTGTAATGTGTCACAGGATGCTATGTAACCCAGGTTTCAGATCTCTGATTGGCCTCTGCAGCACATCTTGTTCCTGGTTAGAGCTCAATTTACGTTATCCCGGTAACATAAGGGGGTCTATAATCCATATACATGGCCTAAAGGCCCTAAATAGGATGTGAAACGACATCTCGTAACAACACAACGTTTAGGTAATACCGGTGAAGTCCACCAAAATGAATGAATAGTAGATCCCAGAGGATCCATAGTACCTTCATTTACAGCAGCAGTCTAGCCGCAATGTAATTTAATTAATTGAATTCGCAAAGGGATCTAAGTGGCTGATAAGCGCATATTATACTCGACACATTTAAATTGTCCACTCTGTGGCCTTCAATACATTGTATGCATATGTCTGGCAAAGTGACTGGTGGGCTGTTGGCCTTGTGTTGGATTGAAAGCAGAATATGAAGCACATGACATCTAGGACGTAGAAACTTAGGGCTTACTCACACTCAGACTTTCTGAATGTATGCCATAATAATGATGGTTTAGTTCACTAGAAAAACTTTTATTCTGAGTATTTTGTTCCAGGTCAAAACTCAGTTTCAGGTATCCCTCAGTTTCAGGTATCCCCAGTAATACAAAGGAAGAATGCCATACATGTACACAACCCAAACACGAAGTGATGTGAGATCTATGGAGTTTGGGAACTAACGACATACTAACGCTTTATGGCCTAGTAACCCTTGTCACTCGAGAATCGAGAAGGTCATAGTCGGAGTATCATGTTCCAAACTTCCAGGTTAGAATTCAGGAACACAGTATCCCGGATAATCTAAAGGGAGTGTGGAATACATGCATACTGTCGAAACACGAACTGATCTGACATCTAGGAAGTAGGGCATATATGTGATGACATTACCACATAAGTTAAGAAAGTTCCTAGTTTGAGTATGCATAAAGGCGGGAAAGGGGCACAAGGCCGTCCATGTGGATGGACTAGGGCATGCAACCATGGATGCTATGAATAACACAACTTTTGACCCATGGCTCCTCTCTCTTCTCTTGGGACGTGGTGTAGACCAGCTCTGGCAGAGGTTTTCTACTGCAGGGGACTACGTTTGAATAATTAGAATGGGAAGTCAAAAGAGCAACCAGGAAATGCAGTCCCTGGACTTCCTGCACAGGGGCAATATCATAAACATAGTGATGGGATATAGACCTATGTTCCATGCCTGCCATGGAATTGAGGGCTCTGACGCCTGAGTAACAACCTTGCAGCACCCATGTTGATCCCGAAATAAAGTATTCCAATGCCATGCAAGGTGATCCAGACAGATTTGTCAAAGTTCTTGTATAAGGGGCTATTTTAGTTTGACTTCAGATGCAGTGCGTTTCTGAGCAGACCATGTGGTTGACTTAGCCAAAACTGGGTGTGGTCCAAGTATGATTTGGTATAATATGAGGATCCCAGCCCAAAACAAACAAACAGATTTGTCAAACTTGAAATGGTGATCTAAGGGGTTTTTAATGCCCGCTGGTGCCCAATGTTCCCTGCACTTGGGCCTAGGTGTCCGCTCATTTTGGCTCGGTCAGTTGTTTGTCAGTAGACCTGTGATATCGTGGTATACTTAGGAAGGTTCTCGTACGGCTTTGTTCTCTCAGTTTCAGCACTTGAGAGAGGTGGTGGGACCCAGTCAGAGAGAGCGTTATGTTTTGGTTCAGATCAGCAAACTTCGGGTTTGCATGGTCCGATCTGTCCACTGCCGAAGCAGAAATGGACAACATAACAAAGCAGTCAGGACATTTTGAGGGAGATGCTTCAGCGCCACAGCCAGAACGATCTTGGCTGGGTGCCGAAATGCATGCATGCACAAGAGGGCCAATATTGATATCATATGGAGAGGGAGAGGAACAAGGTCAGGAGAACAAGAGGGAGAGGGTAGCTGTGGGTAATGTATTGCTTCAGAAAAAGAGACACTTGTGGATATCTGTCACATCTTTTGGACCCCAAAGAGAGATACTTGTGGATATGGGTCACGTCGTTTTGGACTTCAGAAAGAGACATTTCTGGAAAGAGGAGCCTCATAGGGTCCTTAACACTCACCACCAGAGCAGAATGCTATAGACTGGCACGAGCGACCAGCCAGGGGTTGAGTTGAAGAGAATAATGACCTCTGGAGCAGGTGTTGCCTATGGTAAGTGGCCACTCCTGCATACGGGACAGGACCACTTTATGTGTGGACTGTGGAAGAACTGCATCCAATTCTCGCAGCAGTTGCTGCAACAAATGGCACGGTGCAGTCAGATGTCACAGGCAGCGTGGCCCCCACACGCTATGAAGACAGCAGCACTGGCGTTCCAGCCCCTGCCTACACATAGGACATGACATGTGAGGGTGTCGTAGATCAGAACAATATTGACTGTCATCATAGGTATGAAAACAAAATCTTGAATAGGCTATACCCTCATAATCCTCACGACACAGAATGATCACATGCTAGCCAAACATTACCTGGGCCATCACAGAGCAGCATTGAGCAACTTCTTGGGGTTCCGGACAGGTGATAACAGGTCCTGGTCCAAAGGAAGGGTGTTTGGCTGGTGCAGGATCTTCTCTGCATCTTCTCTCCCTAGCAGAGCATGGCGCAGTGGAGGTCATTGATGTGAGAGCCTGTTCTCTACCTCAAGCTGCTGTGCCTGTTCCTCGTCTGCTGAGGATAGAGAATGTTCAATCACCGGTGCAGTGCAAGGAAGCCCAGTATTATATGTGGGGCATGGAGAGAGAGGATGTCGCAGGTGATGGCATCGGGGACAGTCCACGCAGTAGAGACACATACTCTCCATGACATCTTCCTGAGAACATGGCCGGCACGTGGCATGTCGGTGACATGCCAGCAGGAAAGCAGGCCCCCGCTCACAATTATTCAAGCATGGTATGTAAAGGCCACAAAGGTATACTGACGACCCGGAAGGGGGTGGGGGTGGTGAATGCAACACAGAGACGGGTCACAGTATATGTGTGTTTTAAATTTTCACCACAACCGCCCCTATTCCACCCAGACGAGTAGATTTGAGTGGAGCCAGCCCAACAATTAAAAAAATTCACCTCTTTAGCAAGCAACATGAATCATAATAGAACCACTGAGAACTGCATGTAGCTGGGATTTGTTTGGGGCAACAACTCCTCCTTTACTATGCCTTGCCCGTACAAGGCCACCCACATTGATTGTGGTTAAGCGGCAGCTGCCCACATCCCCAGGTGCCTTAACGGCCCACTTGCACGTTATAACATGAGGCAGAGTAAAGGGGAAGGTATGCTCCTGTGCATTTCACTTCAGATCTTCATCCTCCAGTTCATTTCACTTCAGATCTTCATCCTCCAGTTCATTTCACTTCAGATCTTCAGCTTATACTTAGTCTTTGTGTCTGTCGTTCGTCTTCATACTCCTGTTCATTCACTTCGGATCTTCAGCTTATATTTCGTCTGTTGTCTTAACGATGCTCATTCGTATTTATTTGCTAGTAGGCTAGTAGCACATTTGGGGAGGGTGGAGGGAAAGGGATAGGAGGCGGAGTTATATGTGCGTGCATGTGTAGCTCATTTATTCTCTGATATATTGTGCCAAATGTGAGATTCCACACATGCTGTGCTAAATCTGCAACAGTTATTTTGATGGTTGGTTTTTCCAGTGCTGCCGCAGCGTTGACTGCTGCAACCTAGTCCTCAACTCTCTGCTCAAGCCAACATAATGGCAATCATGCAGTGAGAAAAAAACGACGACCACGATCACGGCCTCGAGGCTTCGGGATTTCTCTAGTGGTGTTAGGATGACAAATGATGACAATCCATACAATGCATGCAAGGAGGGGGGGGGGAGTAAAACGGAAGGGATAGGGAACCTGTGCAAATTTATAACTCAAAAGTTGACTGGCTATCAAAGAAACAGAAAGCACTGTAAACATGCCTGCATGCATACATTACACAAATAGAAAGGTGGGTGTCAATGAGATAAGAAAGTGAGGAGACATTACACACACAGAAAGGTGGGTGTCAATGAGATAGGAAAGTGAGGAGAAGTGGACGCACCACATGCATCGGATCAATGTGGACTCGATACTCTGTTGACGGGACGACCATGCCAGCTGAGCTCACAGCAATTTTTATTGGTGGGTATTTTTCAGCATTGGATCCAGGCTCCTTATCCACTATAAATCCCAAAAGGGGATTGATACGCGCCAAGACAGTCTCTGCAATAGCTTTTGAAGGCCGTATCTGCAAAAACATGGAAGCAGACATGCACCACCCAATAAGGGGTAACAAATCCCATTTGCACACCAGGAGATATTCACCAAACACATCCTTCACGATACATGGAAGATGTAGCATGGTGTGCATATACCAAGAAATGGTCCAAACAGCCGATTAGTAACAAAAAAAGGGAAAGATATCGAGCAAACAGAATACAGCACAAGACTCTTGCTTCTACAATTCAGACACTATAGTTGATGAATCAGATGAAACAAATTCCAAGGCCATCAGGCTTCTTCTGAATCAGTAGCTCAGCTAGGATGCTCACTCTGACCATAGAGTCTTCTAAGTTCTACCAACATAGAGCCATCAATTGGATGCAGAGGAGGCATTATCCATTCTTATAGTCTTGGGAGCTCAAGGAAAAACTTGAAAACAAACACACAGCCTGCCCAAATGATGGCTATTGCACACGCAACAAGGCCTGGAAAACCACCTACCTCACATGTTATCGGTTGAGCTAGTTCAAATTTCCCACTTCTCAAGTTCGCAGCACCTGCTATTTCCGCTTTTAGGACATCGGCTTCAAATTTAGTGATTACTGGAAATGATCTTGCCAGAAGGAACCCGCCTATGTGTAGGTTCTTCAATTTGCTGCTCTCCTGGACAGCACTGGATCCCAGCCATCCTTGAAGAAGTGCTTTTTTACCAATCACTTCCCCAGCCTCTGCATCCATTAGAACTTTTGCATCCACAGTGGCTATCCCATCATCTCCATCTCCTTGAAGACACATATTAAAGTCTACAACTGCAGGCCGCTGTGATGCCGCCTTCTGTTTCGCCTTGGTTGCCCCTTTACTATCCTTAACAACCCCTTGGGAAGGCATAAGGGCAAGGGCTAGTTGTGGAACTCCAGTCGCAGCATCATTCGAAATGTCCACAAGAGGGACATCCACTTTCAGCCCACCTAAAACACACAATCTCAAGAACCCATACGCAATATAGCCAAGAAGCCAAATGAGTAAGTGCACTCCTTCGCCTGTGTACCTTCGCGTGCCTCCGTTACTCTTTAGGCACAAAAGTGACACAGCTTTTCCATCAGACCAACAGAGATACCAGTGCAGCATTAGAAGTATTCCACCTTAAACCACCAGTACACCCAGGCCTGCAGGCGCTCCACTGCGCACCAAGCTTTGTCGAGCCACAGTGGTGCCCTTGTTAATTTTTTTGGCTGGCGCCACCAGCCATTGTGGTCCGATAGGCCCGAGGCACGAAATTTTCGGAGTAGGCGATGAAACATTTTCTGCAAGGCTGGGCCCGTGTACTGGAAGTTTAACAGGTTTCACTGTCTGTCGTTCTGACTGTCTACGTTTCCTACCACGCTACACAACAAAGTTCGCAAAC